ATAAGTTTGATAATTATACTAAAATCGGCCTAAGTTATTCTTCAATCAATATAATTTTTTTCTTTTCCTTTTTTTTTAATTTCGTGTGCAAATACCGTAAGCGGAAGAAAAATCGACTTTATTTTATAAATCATTATCGTTATCAATGATGTATTAAATTTGTTCAAATAGTCGGGACCATCATATGATCATCCGGAGCACAACCTTGTACACATTTACGGTACTAGCACTAAAAAATTGGTCTAAACTATACTATAACCTAACCTTAACACCAATCTTAACTTAGGCGAGTGTTTAATCATGTAATATGATGATTGCGAAGATATCATTGGGTTCACTGCTGAAATTACCCAAAAATTTAATATTAAACACACCTATGGTGGTTTGCACTTATTTTATATTTACAATTTTGTATATATAATGTTAGAGCTAGTATTTAAGAAGAGTCAGGGTTAATGTTAGAGTTTGGGAAAGGTTTTTAGGGGAGTAAAGCATTTTTATTTAGCGCACCGTGTACTAATTAATTAGCTAATTTTTGAAATAATGCAATATAGATAATATAGATGATAAAATACCATAGGCGCGTTTTGATAAAAGTCCTACAAATTTCAAGTAATTGAATTTCAAGTAAACTGCAATACAACATTCTCTAACCTAATTATTGAATAGTAGTTAGGCATGTCCAAATGTCCGTGCTTAAAGTAACTCAATACGTCATAGGTTAGTTGCGCAACCAGAATTCAGCAGATCGATCAAAATTCCAGTAGGAATTATAAACTCTGAGTAATCCACGCGCTAAGTAAAATTGTCCAAATTGTCCAGATGCTAATTTTTCCATAATATAGTTAGTTAATATTATTGCTTGACGGCCTATTCTGATGCATTCCAACTGAACTTTGGCCGATCTGCTGAATTTTGGTACGTATCTGTAAATCTCATGATCATACCATATTAGGATTTTTTGTTAATTAATGCAGGACCATGATTCTTCCGAAGGGTGAATTAAGATCCCATATGTAACTAACGACGGTATTGATAGAACGAATGATATAGTAGTGCGAGATAATATGAGGTGTTACATATTAAAGCAACCATTTTTACATGGATCTACATATAAAATTTACTTCAAGTTCGCTTTGTGGATCTTTTTACTATATAATTAGCTCTTATTACTTATGACAACCATTTTTATTGAAATGATATCTATTCAAAGAAACTTGCATAAACATTATTCAGAAATTTTTATATTTAGTAGATATACAGTCAACTCTCTCTAAGTGCATTTAACTGGGACCGAACTTTTATCAACATGCATTTAGAGAACGATTCGATTAAGAAAAAAATTCAATTAATAGAGACTAAACTTATACAATTCATTGGTATCGAACTTTTAGCAACATACATTTAGAGAACGATTAAGAAAATTGCATTTATAGAGACCAAATATATACTTGTGCTCGAAGTTAAAGTTGCATTTAGAGAGAAGTTACACTTAGAGGGGTTGCATTTAGAGAGATTGGCCGTATATCAAATATAATAAAAAGAACATAAATCCAGAAATTATGTGTGATTACAAGAAAAACCTATGAGCTTTTAGTCAAATCAATAAGAAATTTTATTCACAATTATTCAAAATAATTATTTATAAGATATTTTCAAATTAAAATTTAATTAACCCTTTATGTAATTAACATTTTATTGCTTCTAAACCATAAAACAAGTTATGAAATAAAAAAAAAGACAAATAAAATTTTGATACCGTATATAAAATAGGTTTTTCATATAAATTTTTGTAAAAAATTATCGTAAATAATAGTTAACTAGCAAATTAAATAAAAAAGTTAACAGCGTTTTTTAGTAAAAAGCAATTGCATATTCAATTCATCTGATTTAATCAGAACGGTAAATATTCGGTGTTATTCGTTTAAAAATTATCCAAATTATCTAATTAGAGATCTTTATTTAGTTGGTTTAAATTTTTATTTAATAATTCACAAAATCTAAAATTTAGCTTACCATTAAAGCTCAATAAACCACTTTAGGTTCGATCCTATTATAATTTTAAATCATTAATAAGTAATGTTTTTTATTTAAAACTTGTACAAAATGCTTTAAACACCAATTTCTTTATGTAAAAAACGCAAAATATTATTATTTTAAATATATATTAGATATTTTTTAATATATTAATCATTAATAAGGCATTAACAAATTTATTTAATGGATGAAGTTTATATCAGTATATAAACAAAATTGTTGTTTAAAACCTTTAATTTAAATTTTAATAGATAATTAATAAGCAATTAAACTTGTTTTACCTTTTGATAATGCGGAAGTAATTTTATCAGTTTTATTCTCAATTAGATCTTTATTTAGTTCTTTCAGATTTTTGTCCGCTTTTAAAAAAGCATCTCTAATCTCAATCTGTTCTTTATTTAGTTCTTCAATATTTTTATCAAGAATTATCTCCCAATCTTGTAACTTTTCATAAACATCTGCTGCGGTCGGTCTTTTATTGGGGTCTCCATCCATACATTGATAAGCGAGTTATTTATAACAATCAGGTGTATCTCGGCCAAATTCAGGGCGTGAGCCACGAATTATTTTCAGCGATGAGAATTGCTGATTTTTAAAAGGCAGTTGACCAGTTGATACCTCTGACATTATTACACCCAAACTATAAATGTCTGATGCTTTAGTGTATGGTTTCTTCGATAAAACTTCAGGTGCTAAATAGGGAAGATTTCCATACTCTTGTATATCATGTTTTTTTTCTTCAATGGACAATCCTAAATCAGATACTTTTGGTTCTATTGTCTCTAATTTACCTCCAACTTTCACCTGAATCATTATTAACGTGCCATTTAAATCTAAAGCATGAGGAATAAAATCCTCAGTATTAAACATAAGTATATTACCGCTATGAAGATCTCTATGAATGTATTTCTGGTGAATGAAATCTAAATTGTCCGATATTGAACGAAGAATCTTAATTTTTTGTTTCCATGTAAGAGATTTAAAATTATCTTGAAGATATTGTCGAAGATCTCCTTTATCAGCAAATTCAAAAACCATCATATATTCATCTTCTGTTGGATTATACGTCACCCCATATATCTCTAATCCATATCTTTCTACGCTATATTTTCTAATTTGGCATTCATAGTGTGCTTTAAACTTGAATATAAGTAAAACATTAGTCATATAAATAAAATAAATAAATAAATAAAATAGCAAATTATTCTTTTTACCTCGTTTAAGCAATCAATTTTTTGTTCACCGTTTAGACTTTTGAGTGCAACTTTACAATTTGATTCTCGTGATAGCATTATTTTTTTTTTCATATCATTAAGTTCATAGGTTCGCCTACCGTCAATCCAAATTGCAGAATAAACTGTGGAAAAACCTCCTTCACCTATTTTTTTAACATCTTTCAATCTATCAAAAGGTATCCATTCGATTACTTTGTTATAATATTCAGACTCATTCTGGGCTTTTTTAATATAATCATCAATTTCTTTAATTCCACTAGTCCAATCATGATTTATTTGAGTGTCACATGAATGGCAAAATTGAAAACCAGTATTATATTGTTTGCAACTTGGACAGGTTCCAAACCTAATGCGAGTTTTTTCATTATTCGATTTAATTTCAAAAGCTTTATTCAAATCTGCAAGCGATTCTTTATATCTACCAATATATTGATAAACTACTCCACGATTAGCTAATGTCATTGTAGAATTGGGATTTATTTCTAATGCTCTATTTAGATCGGCGAGTGATTCATTATATCTTCTTATATTGAGATAAGTCGTTCCACGATTAGCTAATGCCTTTGCATAATTAGGATTTATTTCTAATGATTTATTTAGATCCGCAAGTGATTTATCATACTTGCCCATTAGTCTATAAATATTTCCACGATTATTTAATGCAATTATATTATTTGGATTAATCTTTAATGAATTGTTTAAATCAAATAAAGAATCTTGAAATCTTCCAACATTATAATAAATAAATCCGCGGTTACTTAATGCATTTGCATTATTTGGCTCGATCTCTAATGATTTGTTTAAATCTGCAAGTGATTCTTCATATCTACCAATTTCTCTATAAATGTCACCACGATTGCTCAATGCAAATGCATAATTTGGTTTGATCTCTAATGATTTATTTAAATTAGTAAGAGATTCATCATATTTTCCCATTTGAGCATAAGTTAATCCACGATTATTTAATGCTATTGGATCATTTGGCACGATCTCTAATGATTTGTTTAAATCTGTAAGTGATTCTTCAAATAGGCCCATTTTCCGGTAAGTTTCTCCACGATTATATAATATATATGCATCATTTGGTTCGATTTCTAATGATTTATTTAAATCAGCAAGAGATTCCTCACACTTATCCATTTCCCGATAAGTTACTCCACGATTACACATTGTGATCGTATCATCTGGTTTTATTTCTAATGATTTATTAAAATCAGCAAGAGATTCTTCATATCTTGCCATTTTCTGATAAGTTATTCCACGATTATTTAATGCAGTTTCGCAATTTGGATTAATATTTAATGATTTGTTTAAGTCAGCAAGTGAGTCATTATATCTACCCATTTCCTGATAAGCTAACCCACGGTTGCATAATGTGACAGCATTATTTGGGTCATTTTCTAATAATTTATTTAGGTCAGAAATATATTCTTCACATTTGCCCATTATTCGATAAGTTTCTCCACGAATATATAATGCAGATATATCGTTTGGATATATTTTCAAGAATTCACTTAAGTCAGTAAGAGATTTTTCATATTTTCTCATTTGATGATAAATAAATCCACGATCGAATAATGTTCTTGGTTCGTTTGGTTCAAGTTTTA